TTAGGGGTTTAGGGTTTGGGGTAGTCCATGTTGGCGTTTCTTCTGTCATGTGTGGATTTAGATTTGCACCGGTCCTGGAAGCAAGTAGGTTGTGGTAGGCTAAGGCATCCTAGTTTCAGTACCATGTACTGCAGTCTGCAGAACCACGAGTCCTTGAAGACCGAAACGACAAGTTTTCAGGGTTCGCTTTGGAATTTCAACTTTTCGCCGACTACTTTCCGGAGACACCGGGTTGCCGAAACCCTAAACCCTAAACCCTGAACCGTTGTAGAAAGCTGAGCCGTTCTACACCTTCCCCAAACCATCGAAGTATCTGGTTGCTGACTGAGGCATTCTATTCCGCTTGATTGTAAGCAAAACCCAACGGGTTCAAAGTACCGATATTAGTAGAATATAGGGTCTCCATATTAGACATCACTATTTTTACACAGGAATCCCTAAACCCTAAACCCTAAACCGAGGAATGTAGATCTCGCTAATTTTGTAAACACCGAAAGCACCGGGCGTCGCTCGCCAAGATAGATGCCTTCGGGGTCAATCTTCCATTAGCGGAGTTCGAAGTTGCGCCCAAACATAAAGGGTTTAGGGTTTAGGGTCTAGGCGTCGACATTAAGCTGGACACGTTAAGCGCGGCACGCCCGCGGAATTCCTTCAAGTGGCAGAGGGATACTCATGAGCCACGGCAAGCCCACGGCAATGAAGGTGGAAGTTACCTTGCAGCTTGGATGTGGGATTAACCTATAGTCTTCATTGTAGCTCCTGCTTTTGGTTAAACAGATGTATATATGTAGGATTCTATAAGGCAGCCCGAAAAATAGGGTTCAGAGTTTAAAAGTTCAGGGTCCAAGTAGCCCATCATCACAGAGTCTCTCACATGTCGAGCTACATGAGTATACTATCCTAGATGGCAATACCTAATGACCGGGTCCTGCAGTAGAGCAAGACGTTTCAAGAGTACAAGATCCCATGAGAGACCATCCGGGACCGATTGGGTGAAGCTCTGCACAGGTTCAGGCACTGAAGCTACAAGTTGCATGCGCGGTGCAGCGAAACGGATCGACCATCGAGATGATTCATTGAACCCGATGAAGCCATGGAGCCCTACACCGGAAACCCTAACCCTGAACTTGACGCAAAGATGTTGCCCCTGGCACCGTCATGGCGGAATATTTACTTTGAACAACGAATGCCCCTAAACACAGGAACCCTCAGAAACCTATATCGACGTTGACAAAACCTACTGTTTCCGGGTTCGCTGGGGTTTGAAAAGGGTTTAGGTTTAGGTATGACTAATGTCCAAAACCTTAAACCTCGGCCCCACATGCTACATGCCAAACTCCACATCCTGCAAGCCCACACACCAAGCCCCCGAATCCCAAAAGTAACACTAATCTACGGGCCTTGCTAGTTGGAATAGGGCTTTGGGGATCCTTATTATGAGTATAGTATAATATACCCCCAAACCCTGTTCTGATTTTTGGGGCCCCCATATTAGCTCGTCCAAGAGTCGGAATCGAGTCCTCCCTGGATGAGGTTGCTTCTTATCAGGATGGCCAGAACCTTGACCGGGTTCCAGATTTGGGGGCGGTAATGTAGGGGCCTTAATAATAAGGTTTTAGGCTCCTTTAAAGGGTTCGTTAAAGGGCTCTCTAAGGGCTACTATAAGGGTTTAGGGTATAGCGGCCTGAAGAATTAGAATAGGGTTTTGGGGGCCATTATACTATTGTGTAAGGAACTCCCACAATATTATTGCTAATTATTGAGGCCCCTCTAGTAGGTGGTTGTTGTAGGGTTTAGGGTTTAGGCGGGTTTAGGGGTTGCGCAGGGGTTGGGGATAGATGTAGCTGGACCCGATAAGACCCTCCTTTTTGGGGCTCCCGATGATGCTTTCCCGATAAGTTCTTAAATCGGTAGGTTCCCCTTGATATGACTTCCTTACATTAGTCGGTGTTTTGGGATCGCATTACAGGCTCGGGTCTGTTTCTATCTCCTAGACCGGGATTTGGTGACAGCAGCTGTTTGGCTGGCAGTGTTGGCGGAGGGTTAGGGTTTATAGGGTTTAGGGTTTAGGGTCTGGATGTGAGTGTAGGGCTTACCAACGATTAGTTTCCGTTGTAGTTCCTTTTTGGGATTACCTTATAGGGTCCTGAATATATAAACTGATCTTACCAAAAAGGAGCTACTGTTGATGATATAAACACTGCATTACCTTAGAAGGACCCTAAACTATGCAAATTATGGTATGTTCCTTATTATGGGTCATGCTGGATTTATATCATCAACCGTACAACGGAAACTGAGGGTAAGGGATGCTAAGGGTTTAGGGTTTAGGGTTTAGGGTTTGGGGCTCAGTTCGGAGTTTAGAATTTAGGGCTTGAGGGCTGCAACATGAATGCACTGCGCCGTTTTGACGTCGTGCGGGCTTTATGCATTTGTGCTTCAGAAACCTAAGAAATGGACACCGCCCAGACCTGCTTAAACGAAGCTTTCTGTAGTTAGGCCCTAAACTCATAACTGTGGTGTACATCTTAGGCTTAGGCTCTCATTCGGCCAGACAGTCCTGGCTTGGGATTTCAAAGCTTGACATCTTCCAGCTTAGTAGCAGCTAATATCTACAACATGCAACTACTTGCAAAAAGTACTCGAACCCGCGGAGCGATTGGGAAGGCCTTTTTCATCACGATTCCTCTGCAAACCTATGCTAAAGACCTGCTGGTCCAAGGGTCCGGAATAGACGTGACGTTCTGCAGCATCGGGTACGCTGCCACCGTCGCTTGACCCAGCCGGGAGCCACCTGTCCACACTAGAGATGCAGGTTGCAGGGATCAGATTTACAGGCTTAATGTAGGGGCCTTAATAATTAGAATCGGGCTTTGGGGGTTCCTTATTATACTTATAGTATCATATACCCCCAACCCTATTCTAATTACTAAGGCCCCTCTATTACAGTTGGCGCAGGAGACTGTGCAGGATCTGAGGGCTTGTGAGTTAGATGAGCAGGAAGACCTGGAAAGCTCGAGTACTTACAGGTTCATGGGACTTAGTAATTAGGGGTATAATAAGGTAACTATACTTATACCCCCAACAAGGGTACTTATAACTGTACTTATTAAGTCCCATGAACCTGCAAGTAGCCGTCAGGCTAATTCTGCCACCCCTCCGACTGCCAAATAAATCCAAAAACCTCTGCGCAATCAATGCAAGTTGAAAACCAAACGTGCCACAGATTGGCATAATGCAGGGGCCTTAAACATAATTAGAATAGGGCTTTGGGTTCCTTTATGGTAATATCATAATGACGAACCCTAACAGTATAATATCGGTAAGTATTTAGGCTTCTCTCTTACTGCCATTAATTATTGGAATCCCAGGGGGTCCGATTCCGACAGGGGAGGGGGCGAGCCAAGGAGCTTCCGAAACGTCGCTTTCTGCAGCAGCAGTATGTCGTTTTAAGGCCTTTAAGGCTTAAAGGGCTCGGGCTTTGGGTTTCAGGGTTTAGGCGTTTAGGGTTTAGGGTTTAGGGGTCATGTAGGGGCCTTAATAATTAGAATAGGGTTTTGGGGCCCATTATACTAAAGCTAGCACAAGGAACCCCCTACAATAGTATAGGTAATTATTTAGGCCCCTATATTACCTGGACCCCAAAAGCACGCACAATACTAGCATTTTATTTGTGTTGGGCAACTATTTTACCTAGAGTCGGGGGGTTTGAGTAGAGCTTGAGGGCTTGCGGGTGCAAGGGTGCCCAGAGACTCCAAAACCCCTTACTTAAGGAACATAACCTAATTTTCATTAGGGCTCCTATTGCAATTTAAAGTGTATTCCGGGATTTTGGACTCTCTACTCTAAGCCCTAAGCCCCAAACCTCAACCCCTAAAACCCTAAACCCTAAAACCCTAAAGCCCCAAACCCCAAACCCCCAAACCCTACAACCCTAAACCCTAAAACTGCCGCAGTTTCAGCTCTTGGCTCAGCCTGCATTCAGCTTGCTGAACAAGTTCTCATCCGTGGTGTAGAAAGGCGGATAGGCCATGCCTTTGCTTGCTTTTTGGTGTCATCTACCTTAACCAGAACCTACTTGTTGGAAGGCCCCTGTTACTTCCATATTGGGGCTTATAATGAGAACCGGTTTTGGTAGGTTAGGGTATCGTGACCCTATCGTATGTAGGGTTCCATCAGGGTTCTATAAGGATTCTATCAAGGGTCTTGCGGTACCTATAGTCTCCATTGTAATTGCTTTTCTCTGGCTTCACCAATTTTCTGGTTAGGATCCTCGAAGGTAGCCCTAAAAAGGGACTACAATGAAGACTATTGTACCCCCACCCCCAGGCTCCAAATGACTCATATATTGTTGGGGCTTTGGGGCCCAAAAACACTATTATTTTCGGCTCTTTGGAGCTATGTTGCACCTTAGGGTTTAGCTTCGGCTGCCAGGGAGCTCGGAAGGTTTGAACCATTGCAGATACATCCTAAACCCTAAACCCCTAAACCCTAAACCCCTAAACACCTAAACCCCTAAACCCTGAAACCCTAAACCCTAAACCGCTAAACACTAAACTCTAAGCCCCTTACCCCTAAACCCTAAACCCCTAAACCCTAAAACCCTTCACACCACTCCAGAATGCCGACGCTAAACCCTGAACCGGGGCTCCTGGAAACACTCAGAAAGCCGGCCCTTGCAAGGACTGTGACGGTTCAGGGATTAGGGCTTTAGGGTTTATAAGGGTTTATGGCAGTTTATGGGGGTTTAGGGTTTAGAGTTTGGGGTTTAGAATTTATAAGGGTCCAGGGCTTTAGGGTTTATAAGGGTTTAGGCTTTAGGGTTCTACGGCTGATTCTCCCCATCCAAGGGTAGCCCTCATGATCAAGCCTTCTGATGGCTCAACTTGGATTGAATACAGGGCTGTGTCAAAATCAAAAATCATCGGGGTCGTTAGCTACTTTATGTGGGTCCGTATTGTAGAAATATGCTCCTCCACCAGCTATCACACGCTGCAAGGGGTCCCCATTTCAGAGCCCACGTCGGGGGCAAGTCCGAAACTGCGGCACTTAGACCCGTCCCCCCGGAGGCCGATAGATCCTGATGTTGGCCTGGCCCTAAACCCTAAACCCTAAACCCTATATGCATTATGCTGCTGCTCTTAAACCCTGGACTGTACAGCTAGAGACAAAGACAGAGACCGAGACAGAGGGAGAGAGAAAGAGGCAGATAGAGACATACCTATAGTCTCCATTGTATCTCGTTGTGGGGTTACCTTATAGGATCCTAAGTATATATGTAATTGGTTAGTTTTACACCAAAACAAGGAACTACAATGGAGACTATCGGTAGCGATGACACAAGAGGACCTCGGCTGGACCGGACATAAGAGTGTAGGATTTAAAGGTTTAGGCGCTTACCCTAAGGGTCCATGTACCCAAATAGTATATACTTTGGCCTTAAAGTAGTCCCTATCTGGGTACTTTGGGGCCAAAGTATATACTATTTGGGTACATGGAGCCTTACGGTTAGGGTTCTGACAAGCACATCTTATCAGCAGACACGGCTCCGCCAACAACGCCGATCACGGTGTAGGTAACAACCTGGATGTACTGACGAGCCGCGATTGAAGTTCAGGGAGTGCACAGGGTTCAGGGTCATGTAGGGATTGGGAGCGTTTATATAGGGGTTCTTGAATATATTGAATTCTTAGGACGTGCTACAGGGATTGTCATGGGTCGGTGTGGCATGTCATTGATCTCCTTATGTTTCGAGGTGCGGATTAGGATTCACCCTGCGATCTTGATCTGCAACCCGCCGGCTTCCGTGACTCTGACTTCCCAACCCCTTGGACACTGAGCCGGCGGAGATTGTTCTCGCATGACAGATAGTTGGAACCCTTAAACCCTAAATCATAAAGCCGAAGACTCTAAAGCGATTTTGTGTGCTAGATTTCATGGTCTGAGCATCAGGGCCAGCTGGTGTAGCACATGGACAACACTTAGGCCATCGCCACGTAGCCCATGACGGTCCAGAAAGTTACTCCTGCGCTCATGTCTGCCCTCTTGTTCAATACCTGAACTTTAGGTGCCATGAGCATGGTTTGAATCGTCGCACAAATGTCTGGACTTGGTCTCAGGCGGCCTAGGCGAATGAAGCATAATGTAGGGGCCTTAATCATTAGAATAGGGTTTGGGGTATATTATCCTATAAGTATAATAAGGAACCCCCCAAAATAGTATAGCTAACTATGAGGGCTTCTATTTTTTATGGAGAGCCTCTATAGGTTTTCATAGCTTTCATTCGAGGGTCAGCTGCCTGCTCTCATCTGTCTACACCAGCTTCGTCCTCGCTGGGAGTTAGGACTACGGAGACCCTTGGGGATATAGACCCCCTCAAAAAGGTCCCTTTTAAGAGAGCCACAAGTAGGGTTAAGAAGGGTCCCCTTTAAGGGGGTCTCCCTAATACTACCTGGGACTTGACACTGAGCTACTGTCAAAACAGCAGACCTTTGTCAGAAGCGAGTTTCTAACCACTCCTTGAGGTGCAGACACAAATTTAATGGCGCCGCAAAACACCCTAAACCATAAACCCCTCAGGATATACGCCTCAAAAAGCCATGTGCTGAGGAACCTCAGGGAGCTTTCTCCCCTAAACCCAACATGAGAACCTGTCAAGATGAGAAACCTTAGGCAGCCGTCTCCCCAAAACCCAAAACACCTCAACCCTAAACCCCGAACCCCCAAAACCCTAAATCCCAAACCCTAAACCGTAAACCCTAAACCCTTAAACCCTAAACCCTAAACCCTAAATCCCAAACCCTAAACCGTTTCTCCCTTGGAGAATGGAACTCCGGGCTCCTACAGATACCTCCGCTTTCTTCTCGTTCACCCAGGACGGCAAGGTGCTGGTGAAGGCCTTTTAGTTCGGCAGGGGCTTCCTGGGGTTTAGGGTCTAGGGTTTAGGGGTTTAGGGGTTTTGGGGTTTAGGGTTTAGGGGTGCAAGCTTTACAACTTTACAGCGTACCTATACGAATTATACATTCAGGACCCTAGAAACGAACCCCCAAAAGGAACTGCCATGGAGACTCTATGTAGGGTTTGGGGTTTAGGGCTGGCGATGGCTGGCGTGTTCTGAAGCGGGATTCAAATCTCCAGCCTCGAAAAGGGGGCTGAGCCCTGAGCCTGAAATTGGGTTTAGGGTTTAGGGTTTAGGGTTTAGGGTTTAGGGTTTAGGGTTTAGGGTTTAGGGGTTTAGGGTTTACGGTTTAGTCATCTCAGCACCTTCACAACTCCTAAACCGTCACCGTAAGCGTCAACTAAAGCCCCAAGGCCCCCCGAATACGGAAGTCTGGAATCCCACTCTGACCATAGAAGCCCTACAAACCCGAAGCTTTAGCTACATAGAATATTACCTATAGGCTCCATTGTAGTTCCTTTTCGGGGATACCTTATTAAATCCTTAACATATGTTTGGTTAAACCAAAAAAAGGAACTACAATGGAGACTATAGGTATGAACCCCGAAATCCCCAAGCACGCAAACCCTACATCGCCCACACACTCCAAAAGCCACACGCCCTGCATATCTCACAGTTTTTCACACCAGCACATGAGTAGTTGTCAGAATCATGGTCCCTTTGGGAACCCTGTGCACTTCTACCCTTAATGCGACACCCAATAATTTGGGAACTCCCAAGAGACCCTAATTTGGGCAACCACCCACATCAACCCTGTTGGGCGTCAGGCGAAGTTGAAGAGGACGGTGCCTCTTCCGAAGAACATCGGCGCCAACATAGTGTCATGATTTTGAGGTTCCATCTGTAGACAACAAACATGTGAGTATCTGAGTATATGTCCCAAAGGGTTAAAAGCTACCTATTCAGGCCCCAAGGTTCGTATGCCGGCCACAAAGCTTTGCATAGCTTTCATATGCTTGAGCGTGGTAGGGCTCGCGCTTCGAGGGTATGTCTGTCGTTTGAGGGGGGATGTCCCAAAGGGCCCTAAGAATACCCATCTGGGACTACAGACGATAGAATTCCTCTTTCGACTATGTAGGTACCTATAGGACTTTGGAAATCTTGGAGGTTTTGCGGCCCTTCAAGTCCTCAACCCTAAACCCGAGTTTCCGAAGACAAGGTCGTCGGTACTGTTATGTGGGGATACTTTCCCAAATCATAATAGTAATTCCTAAAACAAACACCCTACATTCTTATGACCTTTTGGGACATCAGGTATCCCTGACTCTACGGAACCCCCTTGTCTTTCGACTTTGAGGCTCTCTGCCAATCCGTACATCCTAGGAGTCAATAGGTTTGCGGAAAAGCTTACGGCCCAAGAAAAGCGAACCCTCGCTACTCCGTTGCCGGGATCGTATCCTAAGCCAGCGTGATGCAGCGACATGTATGATCTGTGCGTTTGACTTGTTCGATGCTTGCAAGAATAAAATGCAAAACCCTAAGGGTTTCTGGTTGGAGGTCGCAGGTCAGGGTCGTAGGGTCACAGGGTTAAGATCTTACATCTACCCGCTTCCGAGCGTTGGGGTTACGGTCTCCGGCTCTAGCTTTAAAGGCGCCCCATCTTACACCCTCAACCCAAAGCGCCTCCTCAACAAACCCGAACTAAACCCTCAACTCGAAATTCTGAACCTTAGAACCTTACACTCCTCCTCAATCCGAGGCTGTACACCCTAATTAACCCCGGAGCCCTTCTGGAAGCCTTCTTCTTCCCCCTTGCTGTCCCGCTACCCATAGGCCCCATAGTAGTTCCGTTTCGGGATTCCCTAATAGGATCCGAAATAGAAGCCGCAAAAAAGAACTACTGTGGGGCCTATGGGTAAAGCAGCCACACATCGCCGAGTGGCCAACCAGGGAGGATTGCGCTGTGGTTGCAACCGGCAGCGGCGACGGAAACCTAAGGCGGCGAGGTCATGAGGGCTTTTCGGGTTTAGGGCTCCTTGCTCTTGATGTCTTTAAGGCTCATGTTCTTCGAGTTTACATAGGGTGTTCCTTAGCCAGAAAATGTATAGGGTGTAGGGTTTAGCACCTTTGGGTTACCGGGACCCTCCTCGTACCCTCAAATAAGGCCTATATGGTCCCATATAATGCGTGTTTAGGATCTACCTATAGTCTCCATTGTAGTTCCTTCTATGGTCAACCAAATTCATCTTATTTCAGGATCCTCGGCAAAAAAATTAACCAACGAAAAAGTAGATACAAAGGAGACTATCCCTAGGGCTCCAAGTATACAAATAGTACCTACTTTGGGGTCTAAAGTCTATAAATAGTGCCTACTTTGGGCTATCTGGAGCCCTAGGGTATAGGTAGGCTAGAGAGTAGATGCAGGGTCTAGGTTGGGGGTGAGGGTTCAACGTCTAGGAATCCAACAGCTTTCGGAGATTCGGCTCTAGCGTTCTCTATGTTAGACAGCTTAGGGTTTAGGGGGCGTAGGGGGTTTAGGACTGGATTCAAAAGGTTTAGGGTTTCGGGTGTAGGGTTGCTGTAAAGGTTTAGAGCGTAGGGTAGTTTGCACTGAAACGTGTCATTTTATGCTTTGGGGCTTCTTAGCGCCGATCAGGGTTCGACATCCTATAACTATAGGTTCCAAGTACCTAGTGACCTAGTGATCAGATACTCCCCTCCAATACTGACCTGAATTCATACCCTGCAAATGCAAGTTGCACTTATAGCCTTTTGCCGTCAGGCTTCCGTCGGCTACGACACGGGCTCTGTAGAGCTTTGTGCGGTTGCTTTCGGTGTTCCATAGTGTTGTTTAAGTTAGGTTTTGGGGGGTTAAATATAAAGCCTAAACCAGTTCTAAGTACCTTAATTGGGGATATATGCAATTATAAGTAGAGTTACCTTATTTATAACCCTAGTTACTAAGTCCCATGAACCTGTAAGTAGGGACTGCTTTCGCCAGGTCTTTCGGCTAGCGTCTAGGCAACCCGAGAACAACCCTTATGATACCTCTTGGCATAACCACCACTTCAGCGCAGTCCAGAGTACGTCGGCTCGGCTACCAGAAGCGATATCCAGATCACAGACATCACGCTCAAGCCAATGACGGCCTCGCGTTCAGGTCTTATGGGGCTTGAAACTAGGTTGGGAAAGGGGTTATAGCGAACCCCAAAAAACTGGAACATGGATTGAGGATGAAAAGTGCTAGGATTCCCTATACCTCAGCTTCAGGGCATGAGGAGAATGATGTTCCAACTTTCTGGCTTCTACTGTAAGAAGTGAAGGTTTTGATCTTGGGTGTTACGATGCTGGAAGGATTTGCGGGTTCAGGTTTCGGTATCGAGGTGTGTTTACCGTTCTTGCGCTTCCGTAGGGGGAAGATTAATCTTTAGGCCGCGCTAGGCCCTAAACCCTAAACCC